TTCCATTAAAAGTTCGAAGAGAAATTTGAGGCCTCTTTTAGTTTAGAGTTCTGCACAAACATAAACTCCAACTATTACATAAAAGTGAGACCTCAGAAGCCTCAGTCTCGTCTGTCTCCAAGCAATATTAAGGGTTGAAAGCGACACACCCCCCCTTTCTTTTTTTTTTAATTGTCTTTTGAGGAATAATCTACTTTCTTGTCCTCAGTCCTATCCCACTTGCCTTGGCTTCCAGCTTCCCATGCAGGTGGAAAGTCCATCTCCTCCAATCTTCTCAGAGAAGTTCAAAGTTCTCACCTGAGCTCGTAGACAGCCAGAGCCATCCTTCCTTCATAGGTGGGTTAATCTGGACAAACTCTTCTGGAAAGTTCTGGTAAAGCCTTTCCCTAGAAATCCAGACTACCAGGTGGAGAACCACCTTGTTAGGACCTTCTGGATTACAAGTCTTTTTTGGGACTTCACCTCGAGCAAGGTATTCACTGGTATTCATTTTGTAGCTATGTGTACTGACATCTACATAATAAGTAAATGCTGTTTATACAGCTATGAACAAACCTTCCCAGAGGGGTCCTGATTTTTTTTAATGTTTTTGTTTGGGTGGGGTTTTTTTGTTTTGGTTTTTTTTTTAATTCATCCACCACTTATTTACCTTTCCTAAAAGAACAAAAACAAAGGTAAGGAAAAAACCCGTGCTTCTGCAAGCCCCATTTGAAGTTCAATTTTAGAGCAATAATTCCTGTTTCAGATATGTAATTTAGGACAATCTTTGGCTATTACAAAGAGAAAATACATTCTTTTATCTTTGTATTTACTTTTTGTTTAAGGTTAGGCTTTTTCAGCCTTTGATCTGTAACAAAAATAAGGGCTACCCAGTAGGAGCATTTCTTATTGTTACTCTGAAAAGACTTTTGATTGATTCATCCTTCTTCTGACTCATGTTATTAACACAAGAGAAGCTGGGTTTGAAAAACAGAAAAAGCAATCATTTTGTTTAAGAGATACACTTTATCTTTCTGCAAAATACTTAATCCATTTTACTACTCTGTTCAACAAAATAAATTTTAAAAAATCTTAGAACTTTTTTGCGAAGGCAGCAGATAATTAGCAAAGATCTACTGATACTGGTTTTGCTCTCAGCATATGAAAGTAAATTATAATCTCTTGGCTGGATAGTGCAGTTCAAGACTATCCGTAAATATCAAAGAAATTATAGTCCAAGCTGACCTAAGTCGTTTTCCCATGTTTTATTTTACAATTAAGAAAGAGATAAAAATGTAGACTTAAGGTTTTCTTTGGAGAAGATAATTACTGAGAACTAGCCTAAGACTGAGAATCATCTGCCCTTATTAATACCCGGACAACTATTTCCATTTAGCAGGTAAAAAAATATTCAAAATAAAATAAAATAATTTAACAGATTTCAAAAGGTCATTTTATCCTGTATTGTAGAAACTGTTTATGGTGTTCTACAGTTCAGAACAGGCAATTTCACTCTCCAGACCCAAATAGTTGAGAGTATTTGTTCATGCTTTTAGCTTCATCTTCAAGGTAATCAGATATAAAAGGAAGTCAAGATTTAAATACTCAAAACAGAGACATGGTTTTTTTCAAATTCTGAGTGTTAGGGCAGACAAAAAAAAAAAGATCAACAAAACATATTCATGTTCCATTACCATTATCAGTAAGAACAGGAAGTACAGAACTCTCCAGATCTCACTGTTACCAAGACATAAGCAGAGATCAACATTCTCTGGCTTGCAGACAGGGGTATAAACTAGTCCAGTGGCAAACAAATGTCCAGTGCCCAAGTAAAACTGTCTCAGACTTTCTCCTGCCTCTTCCTTATATTTTCAAAACTCTTTCTTGGAAGCTCATGGAGGCCCCACAAACACACAGACTGACACACTCATTCTCAAGAGCTGATATTATGATGGGTGCGGTACATGAATCTTAAATTCATCCACCTACCAAAATTTTCCTGATGGTCAGAATGAAAAGTACCTCTGCAGAACACAAATCAGCCTGTCCTTGTGTATTCTCTGTGGTTTGAGAAGGACTGTAACTCTCTGTTTTCCAGTACCGCTCCATTTTTACTTACTGCCACATTCTATCTATCTAGAAGGTGAGGCAGGAAAGGTAACCTAAAATTATATTTAAAATTAACAAATAAGAGGTGACTCTAAGGAAGAAACCACATATTATAAAAGTAATGTTGAACGGCATGGTGAAAACATACATTTTTATTTTATATCATAAAAACTAGGACAACTCTTAGTCAAGTAGAAGAAACATTTTTTGGTGTTTTAAAAGAATTTATCTGACTAACAGTGGAAACCCCCCAAGTTAATGTACACCCTACTGCTCTTCCTCTCTTAAATGCTGGATAATCCTGAACCACTTCCTGATACCAGAAGCTGCTCAGGTTATATGACTGTGAAATAACTAATGACTGGCTTAAAAATTATTCTGAACCACCTTCAGAACTTTTTTAAGAGATAGTAAAGCCATGCAAGTAAAAACTATTTAAATTCTTGACAAGGCAGAATTCAAAGCAGAGGTGAGGACAGTTCATTTTCTGGCAAGCCCAGGTGTACATTTCCTCTATGACCTATTAGTTAATCTAGATTCTCCAATTACTTAAATGTACTTCAACCTGAAATGGTGTAAAGGGTTCTAACATTTCCCATTCAGACTATTACTTTCATTATTACAGCTGCTCTAATATATAACTCTTGTTTTGCTGTGTTTGCCATATATAGAAAGTGTTTACCATAAAATCCACAGAGGAAGTCTTTCCACATACCTCCTTTTAAAATACTTTAGCTTTTAGTGTAATGGAATTCTGACAAAACCAACTGGTTAAAAAAAAAAAGACATTAAGGAATTCTCTGCTGTGCAAATTGCTGGCTATTGCTAATAAATAATAATGTCACAGATTTCCACCAAAGAACGAGCCATTTACACACGACTGATGCTTTTGCAGAAGTCTGCAAACAGCAGATGAAACCATGTCTGGTTTTCTATTTGGATGCTGCTGTCCAAATACAGATTCCTGAACTGTTGTGTCAGGATTTCACCCCATCAGGCCTCACAAGCACATAGACACACATCCTGCCTTGCAAACTCAATACTGGTGAGCTCAGAAGGAAGCCTCACTTAACTTTTATTGGTTCAGAATACCAAAATAAAAAAAAGAGAATGGGAAATAAGCATGCCACACTTGCCCCCATCCTCAAGAACAGCATCAGGTACCATTTTATCTACATATAAAAAAAAGGGAAAGACTCAGGTTTGTAATTCCTTTCCCTGTTTCAAGAAAACATAAAAAAAGGGGGAAAGTTTCACTTGATGGCACCTTGCTACATCTGATCTTCTAGCAAAACAAGGGTTTACATAACTTTCCAGCATGCACAACTTCATTAAGGGTTGCCTGCATAGGATTTTCAAGTGCAGCCTTTAGTAGTAGCTTGGTTGTGCCTCAAGTGAATTTCTTTTCCACCCACCCCAGAAACTTCTTATGCTGTACTCTGAGGAATTTTACTGCCTCCTAAACACCACCCAGCTACAACATCAAAAGGATTTTTTAAACTCTGGTAGTATTTTATACTATCACAGTCAAGGAGCTAAAGACACTTTACCGGAACCCATTTGCCAAGTCACACGCAGAGGTTCATATGTCACAGAAAGGTTGAGTTACAGAAAAGTAGAGAGAACCTTGGACAGAGAATTAAAATGGAGACAACAGTTGGAGACCGGAGATTTCTGGAACAAGTATTACTGTGTGCTCTTCTGCTACACAGAAATAGAAGGGGGAAGTACAATTTCAGGATCATTCTGTTAGGAAAGAAGGGACACTTGTCCTGTAGATCATGACAACCTTTCAAGCCTGGGGCTCCACATACACAGATTTTTCCACAATACTCAGATTACAAATATACATCACCCTTCACCATGTACTAATTTTCAAGGGACTTGGTTACACTATAACTGGGTGGTGACACCGGGGTGTGACATTGGCTTGCTGCAGGCCTGGTCTCACGTGCATCGTTTATCAGAGTACACCATGTCTCCTGTCTCCTCAAGTGAGTTACACCATCCTTTGTTAAGCACGTACCAAAATAACCAATGTCACAACACACCGCGTTCTGGCAGTGAGGTTCTTAGACAGCTTCCTAGGGACACACGCCCTCAAGGAACAAAGACCTCCGGATGGTGAAGGCCCCAAATTAGCCCTTTAGGATAGAGACCCTTCACAGGAGCCAACAGTGCGATCTGCAAAGGTTCACCCAGTGTTTTCCCACCACCAGCCAGGTCCAAGCAAGCACCTCCGAAGCCAGCACATGACAGCCATGAAGGCCGAGATCCAATTACACCCTCCAGCCCTGGGCCAGTTCCTCTGCCACAGCCAAGTCCTTACACTCCACTACAGCCTCCCAAGACCCTCAGAAACCCAGGGGTGCCGTCCCAGCCCGCCTCCAAGGAGTAACGGGGCTGAGCTCTGTGCCAGCACAAGGACACCGGTGCCCCCAGACCCCGGCGCGGGACACCGTGACCACCGTCCCTGGAAGGGCAGGAGCCCGGGCTGGATGCGCCTGCGGTCCCGCCTCTGCCCCACCGTGAGCCGAGCAAAGCCACCGGCACCACCGCCTCCCCTGCTAATCCCGCTCGCCGTGCCACGGCACGGAGCAGCAGCTGCGTTAACGGGAGCGCGGCCGCAGCGGCCGCGGGGTGCGCGGAGCCCCGGGACGGTCCCCGCCGCCCGCTCCGCCCGGCACCGCGGCGGGCGGGGAGGGCACCGCTCCGCCGTGCCCTGACCTTACCCCGACTTGGCAGGGGCCGCCCGGGCGCCGGAGCGCGGCGGGCAGCGCTGCCATCACACCGCCCGCCCGGCTCCGCGCAGGGGAACAGCGGCAGCGCCGCAGGAGGAAGAGAAGGAGGAGGAGAAGGAGGAGGAGAAGGAGGAGGAGAAGGAGGAGGGGGGCAGGCCCGCGCCCGCTCACCTGCAGGGGGAAGGTGGCCGCCTTGTTGCCCACGTAGCCGCGCACGACGTGGCTCTGGATGGAGAGCACCCGGCACTCGGGCTCCATGGCTGCGCCGCCCGCCCTCCCGCCCGCGCCGGGCCGAGCTGGCGGCGGCGGCGCCGGCAGCAGGAGCAGGAGCGGGGGGCGGAGCGCGGGCGGCGTGACGCGCTCGCCCTCCCTGCCCGCCTGTCACACACACACGCGCTCCCCCCGCGGCAGGGAGGGAGGCAGGGAGGAGGCGGGGGCACCGCACGGCTCCCCCCGCGGTGGTCGCTGCCCGGCGCTGGGTGCGGGGCGGAGGGGGCGCCCGGCGCCCACCGCAGATCCGCCCCCCGCGCTCTCGCCGCGGGTCCCGCCGCCGCCTCCCCCGCGGCGTCACCGGTCACGCGCCCCAGCGGCCGCCCCGCCCGGCGGTGGCACCGGCGACACCGGGCACCGAGCGCGGACACGGCCCCGGACCCTGCCCGGGCACGGCGGGGGCAGCGGGAAGGGCGAGCGCCTCGCCCCGGCGCTTGGGGAGTCACCGGGATGGGTCGGGTTGGAAAGGGACCACGGCGGGTCGTCTGTCCCAACCTCCCTGCTCGTGGAGGGCCATCCCAGAGCACGCGGCAGCGGGTTGTGTCCAGACGGTTCTGGAATGTCTCCAGTGAGGGAGACTCTACACCCTCTCTGGGCAATCTGTTCCACTGCACAGGGAAGAAGTTCTTCGTGTTCGGGTGGAACTTCTTGGGCATCAGTTTCTGCCCGTTGCCTCACCGAGCAGGGCCTGGTCTGTCCTCTGACACTGACCCTTTGGATATATAGACACATTAATGAAGTCCCCTCTCAGTCATCTCTTCTCCAGGCTAAACAGGCCCGGCTCCCTCAGCCTTTATTCATAAGAAAGATGCTCCAGTCCCCCAGTCATCCTCATAGCCCTCTGCTAGACCCTCTCCAGGAGCTCCGTGTCTCTGTTGTCCTGAGGAGCCCAAACTGGACATGGTAAATGAGCTTTTTCCAGCTGGAAGGAGGTTGCAGTGAGGTGGGGGTCAGTCTCTTCTGCTCATGCCCACAGTGAGAGGACCAGAGGAAATGGCCTTAAGCTGAAATAGTGGAGATTCAGATTAGATAGAAAAAAATTTTTCACTGTCAGGGTGGTCAGACATTGGAATAGGCTGTCCAAGGAGGTGGTGGAGTCACCATTCATGGAGGTGCTTAAGCCCAAGCTGTGGGTGCCCTGACAGAGCACCACCCTCACAGTCGAGTTCTTAAGTGAGTGCAATTGTGTGTTATTGACTCAAAAAAAAAAAAAAACCCTTCGGAGGGCTGCCAAAGAGTAAAAGAAGATGTATGTGTTGGCTGGCAAGTGCTACAATATATCAAGACTCTGCTGAGACAGGACTTGATGGTGTGTTTGGGAGTTTCATCTTCCTCTGGCCATTTGTCATTATTGACCGTCACAGATCACAATAAGAAATGACGCCTGATGCCTCTTGTTCTTCTTTGTGGATAGCTTTGAATCGACTCTTGAAATAGCGTGATTATTTCTCAGCAAGGTGAAAGAGTATTTTCCTCATCATAAGTAATCTTTTGGAAAATGAGGGAACATGCTGTCCTCTTTTCAGTCATCACTCCAGTTAAAAAACTTCAGGCTTATTCTACTCTGGCCTAACTACTAACAGTTGCTTCACCACCTATAAATTTATGCATTTCTTGAATTGCAGAAATCAGTGCATCTCCATGGTGTATAGGGCCAGAACAATGAGGGATCTGCATCATGTTATACTCCTGCTCCTCTAGCTTGGAGGGCAATTGCTGGAATACAGATCTTGTCCTTTTTTCCTGTGTTTCTTCCCTTCCTCACTAATAGGGCTTCATGCTCCACTTTGACCTTGTAAGCCTATGATACACACATACTGGCTTAGGTTCCTTTTGGGAATAACTCAAGATCCATCTTGTGGGTTCCATGGTGTTGTCAGGTGAGACTGGGCCTCAGTTAAGGCAGTTGTATAGTGGCATTAATGGTTTGTCTCCATAGTGCCTATACCAATTGTATTTTCCCCAGACTGCTTGTACACCTGAGCAAGGAAACTGCAGCATGGGTATCAATTACAGGATTGTTTAGGTTGGAGAAGACCTTTAAGGTCATGAAGTCCAGCTATTAAACCAGCACTGCCAAATCCACCACTAAACTATGTCTGTAAGTGCTACATCTACATGTCTTTTAAATACTTCCAGGGGTGGTGACTCCACCACTTCCCTGGGCAGCCTGTTCCAGTGCTTGACAACCCTTTTGGTGAAGAAATTTTTCCTGATATCCAATCTAAACGTCCCTTGGCACAACTTGAGGCCATTTCCTGTTATCCTATCCCTGTTCTCCTGGGATAAAGTTCTCTTGCTTGCTCCCACACCACATGCTGTTTCTCCAAGCAAGTGGAAAAATCCACTCTATGCAAGATTGCTGTTTTCTTCCTAATGTTCTGAAAGGTCCAACAAAGGCAAGTACTCCTAGAAAACTTTATGCTTTTCCCAGAGGAACATCTGAAGCCTCCCTTTGTACTCTAAGCTGTAAGAATTGAAGTATTTTTAATGAATTGAGGAGTAGAACCTGCACACACGAAAGTAATCAAGGGGGTGACTTAGCAGTATGAAGTGCCAATGTTTTTCCAATTATGGGGGAATCTGTACATTCATATACTAAAAAAGTTGCCACAAGCAAAGCAAAGGCTAGAAAATAATTCACCTTCCCTTCCAGAAAGCAGCTCATCTGAAAGTGTGCACAGTTTCTGAGCAGTGGTTTTTTTAAAGGCTTTTCCTTATTTATTCTTTAAGAAATCAGTCCTCTTCCTCATAATAAAAGACTCTGTGTACCAGGAAAATTGAAGCTTTGATTCCATAGTGATCATGCATCCTGCTATTCTATTGTTCTCAAAAAAATAACTCCCAGGTACTCCTCCAAATCAGGGGATTACAAAGACTGTTTGAGGAGCAAATAACCATTCAATGGGTGACAGAAAGCTTCACTGGGAAAAAAGAAAAAGGCAGGGCAGGGTAGATCAAGTGCAGGCAATAGAGAAACTGTCCTGGGCTTCCTACTACAGCTGCTGCAGTAGCACTGTGATGATACCTTTTGAGCTCCTGCCCTGTCAGTGGACTGTGCGTGGAGTTTTATGGTGGGGTTTTTTCAAGGTGACCTGACCACTCAAATCAGATCTCCTTGGTAAGAGCGGACTATTTGCTGGAAATGGTGAATTTTGAGTAGAAAATCATCATCATTTGATCAAGAGAGAGGATAGTTAAAAAGACCACAATTTGTCAACAACTGGCAATGTTTCTTCCACAAATATTCCTTGTTCCTCCTGTGCCCTCCTTCTATAACTCGCCGAAATCCTGCTCACATCTCCCCCACTGCTCTGCTCAGCCTGTCAGTAACCACAGAGCAAATCACCCCACGGCAGACCTGAGGCAATAATGCACATGACAGGCATCCAGCCTGCAGTTCTGGGAGATACACATCTTTCCTTGCCTTCTTTGCTTCTGGGCAGACAGGACAAACATCCTTATGGGCCATTTGTTGCACAGGCTGCTGCCTTCCTGTGTCTGTGTTGTTACCCTTTGGAATTTGAGCTCATCACGCATGAAGAAATTGTGAGATGACGGCGAATAACAAGCTTAACGTGGATCAACAATGTCACAATATTGCAATAAAGATAATCACCTTTTGGACTGCATAAACAACACTATAGTCTGCCAGACATATGAACTCGTCCTTGCAGCATACTGAGCACTGGTTGGGTCTCTGGTGAAGTACTGCCAAGTTTTTGGAATGGCATTTCATTCAAAATGAAAAAATGGCACAATAGGAGAGGCCATAAGAAGGATCTAAGGCTCGGGACACACAACATAGGAGGAAATGTTTTCTTTATATTAATGAAAACTCAACTCTTTTAGCAGCCTACAAATACATATAACACAGGGCTATGAGGGAGCAGAAGGGAATAAACCAATGTCCATGATGGAGGGCTTGCTGCCATTTTGCAGAGGATTATGAAGCACACAGGAGGAGATTGCTTGGGAAGATTGATGAGGTTTTATCTTCAGTTTGTTTGTTTTTTCATAGCAACTGGAAGAAATATTTTATAAATATTGATAGGTGTATTTAAATTTGTCTTGGAATGGGGAACAGACTTGAACTACCAAGGTCTCCTGAAGCTCAGATTTTCTATTTCAGCACAATAGAAAAGATATGGAGCTGCCAAGAATATGACACACTGAGCTTGATAAAAGATGCACAGAGAGAAGGTCTTAAATCAGATTTTGTACGTTGCATATGGATTCTTTAAATCATTGTAGACATTGACAGAAAATAAAAGGTGACAGTTATGTAAAGTAGTATCAATACCTTCTCCTCAAAAAGTCTTGAAGGCAGCAGAATTGGACCAGCAGAGAGTAATAAATAGAATCATAGAATTGCTTAGGCTGGAAAAGACCTTTAAGATCACTGAGCCCAGCTATTAACCCATCACTGCCAAGTCCACCACTAAACCACGTCCCTAAGCACCACATCACGTTTCTTAGATACCTCCAGGGATGGTGACAGCCACAAGCAGCCTGTTCCAGTGCTTGACAACCTTTTCAGTGAAGAAATTTCTCCTATGTCCCACCTGAACCTCCCCTGTCACAAATTGAGGCCGTTTCCTCTTGTCCTGTTGCTTGTTACTTGGGAGAAGAGACTGACTCCCCACCTGGCCACAGCCTCCTTTCAGGTAGTTGCAGAGGTCAGTGAGGTCTCGCCCGAGACTCTTTTTCTCCAGGCTAAACACCCCCAGCTCCCTCAGCTGCTCCTCACCAGACTTGTGCTCCAGGCCCTCCACTGAAGAGTACACCTGTTCAAGCCATGACCAGCCAGTTTTTCCAGAAGAATTCTGTAGGAAACAGTGTCAAAGGCTTTGCTAACATCTAGACAACATCCAATTGTGCATTCCTCAATCAGAAGACCATCTGTATTTTAAGACACTGATTTTTGCTTGTCAGTTCAATGTTTGCTAAGACAGATTGTAAAGCACCAATTTATGATTGTGATAGTAACCATAAGCTGTTAGCAACATTTGATGTAGGAGGGGACCGTTGTCCTTGTTTTGTGCCAAATTTTCACTTGGCCTGTATTAAAATGATTAACTTTGTCAGGAATTGTCAAAATTAAGGGATGATCAGAAGATCAAGTGGGCTATCTGTTCACTTACACCTCTGACTCGAACCTGTTCTCTTTCACTTATTTGACAAATCTCCATATATTTTGAGCATTTTTACCTCCAAA